TATATAGGTATAAGTATAAACATGCAAATAGAAAAATAGGAACCACTTTTGGAGGGAAGTAACAGCGTTCCATGTGCCTTCGGCTTTAGGCATGCTGCCCAGATGACCACAGAGATGTCTTCGGAAAGCGCTGGCTCTTCGGCTTTGTAACAGAGTGTTAGAGTCAGGAACAACTAGCACATATGTGCGGGGGAGAACCTTAACGATAGATAGATCGGTAGGTAGGTAGGTAGGTAGGTAGGTAGGTAGGTAGGTAGGTGGCTCTGAGGCTTTCTTGGCAATAAAGTTAATAGTGGAGGCTGGTTATCATGCTTAGCAGCATGGCAGCATCTACACTCCTTTGGGTCAAAAAGGGAGTTTGATGAAAAGTCAAGCAGGACAGGGACTTTGTGGAAATAAACTGAGGCATCCACAGGTATGTCGATGCCCATGGGCACCATGTTGTGGATCCCACCATGGTTATAGGTCTTCAGCTTCAGACCCAGAAGAGCTCTTGCTAGAAAAAAATAGCACTTACTCCTGGTGTCTAACCACTTCTGACCACAATAATGAAGCCACTCATTTCACTTCATACTGTTCATGTTCTATTAATAAGTTTCTTTCCCTCTTGCCACTCAGCAGAACAGAAAGCTGAAATTCAGTTGTCTTGTATAAATATAATGTTGCTGCCTTGGGCTACTTTCCAAAAGCATCTACATTATATTTATACAGAACAATAAACAACAAAAATGGTCAATATCAAATTATAAATATGGTCTTGCTTCAGTCTAAGCAAACAACAATTGTGATATTGTTTCCTCCTTTGCTGCTAAGAATAACATTCCTGCTACACTAGCTGACAATTGTTTTGTCTGGAGAATTCCTTCTGATGTACTTACTGCCTTTTCACCGGTAACAGGATGCTCAGTAAGAGACTTTCAGACTGCAAGGAGATACTATATAAATAATAGGCCTTTCATTGCATATGTTATGAAGTGTCATAGTCTAATATAATTGGCACAGTCAAAAAAGGGGGAGTCAGCCTCAATGGAAACAGGAATTGATGCAGTAAGCAAAGTCCATTTCTCCAAAAGAGTACGCATTATTGTTGGTTTCAATACATTATTGTTCATATTGTTAAAATGTTTATATTAAATCTTGAAAAAAAACTTTTGCATTTCTACTACTAAGAACAAAATTGAAAATTTCAACTTGTGGAGCAAATGCACAGTTTTTTCCAACTCCGCTCTATGGCATCCAGAATCACCCTCTGGTTTTGATACCTCTTTCTTAACATTTTACAAAGACTAAACGCCGAAGGTGCATGGAACGTTGTTACCAACCCACCAAAGGTGGTTCCTATTTCTCTACTTGCTTTTTTACGTGCTTTCAAACTGCTTGGTTGGCAGAAGCTGGGACAAGTAATGGGAGCTCACTCCATTACGTGGCGCTAGGGATTCAAACCGCCGAACTGC